GGTCTCATGGCCCCATACATTTGCAGCTAGTGCTATCATGTTTTGATCCTGTCTGGAAGTTTTTGGCATTTACTTCAGCCAGGTGTGAAACAACCCATGAAACCTACCAGCCAGGAGTGGGAATGAGTTGCTTGTACTGATAAGAGGAAAACTACATCCATACACCAGAGCCAGTTTTACTGATGCAGCATTATGTGTACAGTATTCCTTTTATAAATTTGAATATTCCAGCATTGCTCATAAGGAAAAATGTACCATGGATTGAATCCGGTGCAGCATTCATTGTAGCTATTGAGTGTTCCCCCCCTTCCGTAAAGCTAATGCCTTTACTGAATATCTCCTCTGGATTTTTGGGATACCCTTTGAAACATGTTTTCAGGCTACTTGAGGGTGTAAGAAGGTTTGGGGTTCGATTTAGGCTGTTCCTCTTCTTGTAACACAAAAGATGAGTCTGGATTCTGAATAAATGAAATTTTATTAACAAAACCAACGGTGTCTTCTTTATTTAACTCATTTGAACAACAGACAGATAACTGAGGAGGTGAGTTCTCCCATAACCACAACGATTTTTCATTATTAACGTCCCTTAATAATAGGTTCTTGCTTCCTTCTCTTGTTTGGTCGGGTCTCTCAAACAACGGCTGCGTACAGCACACAGAGTTCCACAGCATGGGTGGTGAGCCCACTCTCCTTCTAACGGCTTATCCTTCATCATCCTCTGGTCTATTGGATAAACTGGCTGCTCCAGACCTCGACCCTTTAGATAAACTAAAACTGTCCATTCTTCCAGACTTAGCCCAGGAATTATTGGCTTCACTTTGTCTTTCACTGATGTTCCTTCTCTTTCTTCATCTACACTTTCAGTCGCTCTCTTTCGGGGTACTGAGAAGACCTGTACACTTTTGTCGGCTTTCTTTCTTCTGCTCTCTTTAAACACAGTGATCTTCTCAGTCTCTTTAGACTCCTCGCCCACCTCAGTCGTGAGGAATACATCAGTTCTCTCCCTGTCCAAATCAGATCCCTTTTCCTCCTCCCTCTCTTCACCGACTAACTGTCCCAACCATTCCCCTCTCTCACGCCTCTCCTTCCCTCGAGACAACCCTAGTCCTTCCGTGCGACTGTCCTCCTCCACTTTCTCCGCGCACATTTCAGTTGCTTGCTATTTCACTCATTTTACTTCTCCTTCCTTTCCTGTTTTCGTGAGCTCACTTGCTTGATCTATGCTAGATTCATGAGAAGACGGCTCACTCCTGGTCCTCTCCTCACAGAGGGGCTGCAGAATGGAGGGACAATTGACCCCCCCCTTCCGCTGGTGAAGCAGATGTTGCCAGTGGAAGCACTGATCTGGATAATGGGCCATGTTTCAAGTAGACAAAGAAAAGGGATGTCATATATAAAGTGAATGGTTCTTACCCTTCCCAGATGCTAGGAGCAGGGAGGCAGCAGCTGCCATCAAGGCTTTTTTCTTGAAAGATAAAGTAAAAGTGGCATTATTTCTCTCATCTTTTCATCTTCTTCCCCATCCTCTCTTCTCTGCACTCAACATCATGTGAGTTCTTTTTACACTCTGGAAAGTCCCATGTTGGTGTGCCTCATGGAACAGTGGTTCAGCCTTCCATCCTTTTAAGGTTGGTAAATTGAGTACCCAGCTCAAATGGAGGAGTAGGGGGAATGTGTAGCCTGCATAATTACATTGTAAACTTCCCAGAGAGTGCTTTAAGCATTATGGAGCAGGTTATAAGACACAAACTTTGCTTTTCTTTTCTTTGCTTGCATACAGATGCACAGAGAAGTGCACAGGCAAAGGCACAGAGGCCTAGTCAGCTCCCTTAATAAATGGGAGTGGGGAAAAGAGCACTTTGGGACAATATTTTCTCCATATAAGAATTTAAGCTACTGGTTGGCACCCATTATAGTGGGAAGGATTGAAGTAATACCAGCCAATGGAAGGCAGAGCCAAAGGTGACAAGCAGAACCAGAAGCAAAAGTGGTACCTACACACATCATACACAGTCAGGCCAGAAAGCGTTCACTCATGGACACAGAGAAAGAGAAGACAAACAGGCATTCAACTTTGATGCCCCTTATCCACAGTGCACCTGAGGAGCAAAAAGTACACATGGCCAAAACAGCAAATGAAGAATCTCCCTTCCTGTTCTGTGCCTTATTTCAAAAGTGAACAGTTGAAATTTATTCACATTCACTCATTCATTTCCCCCCCCCCCACTACTCTGCTGAGTATGATGATGCCAAGAGTTCAGTACAAGGACAACATAGACAGGACCTTGATCTTCCAACTCTGACAAGGAGGCAGGCAGGAATGGGCTAGCGGGTCAGGGAGGAGAGAACGTTGCCTATGCCTGGTGTGGGGGCAATGCCCCACAGTGGACGAATGTCTAGTGGCTGAAATTGTCCCACCAACTTTGCCACTGCAGAAAGGACTCATTCTTTCCCTTGAATGGAACCATATTCAGAAGCCCCCATGTGTACTGGAAACTAATGGAAGTTTACTTTTCTGGAATTTCTACAAAGCATAACCATTATGTGACTCTGATCTAACATAATGCAGTAGTATGTATAGATTATCTCTTCCTACTGGCTGTAGGCCATAGAGGATATAATTTAAATCCTAATGATACCACGGCTAATGAAGATTGCCCTTTAGCTAACAAATGCTCATTGTTAGCACCACCCTTTGGATGCACAAGAATGAATGTCTCGTTGTGCTCACCCATGCAAACAAAAAGATCCAGTAGGCTCCCTAGTTTATGGTGTTTTTGGTGGAATTTTAATTGCTGGGAGAAACAGGGTATTTATATTTGTATGGTGAGTGTTGTGTATATTTTTAACTTTTTTTGTAGTGGTGTTGTCCAGTTTTACCTTGGGGAAGAGCACCTCGTTTCGTTGCACCCACTTGTGAGTGCAATGACAAATAAATTTCTTATGTCTTATGTCTTATCCACTGGTTTGCCATCAGTGAATAGCATAGACATATAGTTTGTTTTATATAAGGAGTCTTATTGCTGCTGCTATGTTAACTATTTAATATGCTTTTGGTCTTAAGAGTGAACTAGACACTGTATAGAACAAAAGAGTTGTGAAATCCTGTACTATTATCATCTTAATGTCGTGGCTAGATAGCTCAGTGATCTAGGCCTCTGGCTGCAGAACCTGAACTTGGGAGTTTGATTCCCCATTGGGACACCTAAGAATCGAATCAGCCTGTGTGGCCTTGGGCAAGCTGAACAGTCCCAGGATGTCCCCAGAAGAAGGGAAGGGTCAACCACTTCTGTGTATTCTCTATCTGAGAAACCCTGAAAAGGGTTGTCATAAGTCAGAATTGACTTGATGACACATGATTATTGTAATGTTGTGGAATGAGCTAAGCACCATGTCTTCCTTAAAGATTATTTGGTGAATGAAACCTTGGCTGAGATGAGATTTGAAATATGCACTGTGTTGTTGTTTAGTCGTTTAGTCGTGTCCGAATCTTCGTGGCCCCATGGACCGGAGTACGCCAGGCCTTCCTGTCTTCCACTTCCTCCCAGAGTTGGGTCAAATCCATGTTGGCTTCTTCGATGACACTGTCCAACCGTCTCATCCTCTGTCGTCCCCTTCTCCTCCTGCCTTCACAGTTTCCCAACATCAGCGAAATATGCACTAACCTGATTCATAACTCACATTCTCAGCCTTTCTGATGCACCATCTCTGGAGACTTCATTTCTACTTTCAGATTATCTTCATTTTCATTTAAAAATGTCAAAATGTGCTGTCAGCATTTCTTCACTAGATACAAATATTAAGCCTTTTACACAAATGAAATGTTTGTGAGCTTAGGAGAGAATAGTGGTAATGTATTATTGCCAGGAATTTTGAATGCATCAGAGAGAAAAAAATCCTCCTTTTTTCTTTTCCGAAAAAGGTGATGTTTTGGGAATAAATGAAGTATATTTAACATGTTTTTTCATATAAAACTTAAACTTATTTTACTCCTTCAGCAAAATACAATATTTCACTGATAGCATAGTATATAAAATTTAAGTAGTTGGCATAATGTGAAATTTTAAAAAATTTGTTCAATAAAAATTGTGAATATTTCTGAAACAAAAGAGGGGGTTCCAGACTACTACTGCATCATAGGCTGATTAAGCATATGGATCTTAATTTTTATCATCTGAGAAGTATAATGGGGGGGAGGGGATAACAGACACCACAAATTTTCTAGCACACAAAATAACATATATTATTTGAAAACAAAAACCACCAATTTTGTTTCTACTTTGACTAGCTCACTTCACTGCATTGTAAGTGAAGCATTGTAGACTGAAACCATGCTAAGTACCTGAGGACGTATTTCACATTTTCCCCGCCTTCTTATGAGAATTTTGAATTTGCTAATTTTATTTCCAAAGCTGAAGTGAAGATACATTGAGAGGCCCCCCACTCATCTGTTTTGTGTTGTTCGTTCCACATGCTATACATGCAGTTACACAACTTCCTTCCTTTAGTTCATTGTTATGCTCTTTACAGTAAAATAACATATATATACTGATAAAAACTGTCAAACAGGATTATTATTGTCCATATCATTTCATCGAGATTTGTCTGTCTGATGTTTAAACAATATGCATGAGTAGCTATGTAAAACAGGAATCTAGATGTGAATTGTATGTTGTATGATTTCAACATCTTTTTAAACTAATATTTTCTTACTGGTGCACAGAAATACACATGTGCATTAGTAATAGTGCGTAAGAATGATGACAGTCATACATATTATTTCTCTTTTTTGTTGGACTTTTTTAATCAATGTACCTGTGTACATTGGTAATATATAGAGGGATAAAAGAGTGAAATAAGTCTTGTTGGTAATTAATTTATATTTATATGTGCAACGAAAGACTACTTTCAGCAAATCTGAAAATGTACTGTATCTTCAAATGTAAAAATGGATTGTTCTGTACAAGTGACTGCTGCTATTTTGTTTTGTTTTTAAATAGGTATCTGGCCATCTGAAGAGGTACTAGCCTACTACTGCCTCAAGCACTGTGAAATGTTCAGGTACAAAACAACCCATAAAAGGCCCTTTCCAATCCATTAGTTATATTATATTTGCATAGTAAAGATTGCTATGATTTAAGGCATCAGATTGAGTTTTTTAAAGTTCAAGGTGAAAGCATGTTGTTCTTAACAAAGAATTTGGAGCTGCCTTTGGGTACTAATATTGCACAGCAAGCTTTCTGCTATATGTCAAAGACTTTTGATTTCCACTCAAGGCGTTTTATTTCACTTTGATTTTTGGGAAACAAAAGTGAGGCGCCAATCGATCAGCACTGATTGTGAAGGTCAGAGGAAAAAAAAGGCATCCTTTACTTTGACTTTTATTCTGAAAGTCATCAAAGTGTTGTTTGGAAAGGAGGTCATATTTTTACAAGCAGAACTTTGGCTGCAGAGTATTTCTAGCATTCCCTGCATATTTTTCTGTCATTGTGCTTTTATGCACTTTTCATACTTATTCACCCGGCTCCCCATCTAGACATGCTGATACTATACAGAAAGCATAAAAGAACATGTTTCTTGGCTGTGGTAGGCTGAAGAAATTTGCACTTGTGGATTCCAAGGGAAACAGTTGCTGAGGGACTATGAGAATGAATTGAGATGTAGGTTGGGCTGAGCGAAAGCTAAAGCAGCAGGGCAATTCTTCCAGCCGTTTCTAAGACATGACCTCTCTCGGTGGTGGTATTTCCAGGGAGCTTCAAAAGGTTGGAAAGGTATTCATGCTGAGGGGCAGTACATCTCTGTTGCCACAGCAACCAGTGCTCCCTATCTTGTTGAGCTACATTGAGCTGAATGCAATTCACTGCCCCAGTCACAGGTAGAATATTTAGGGTTGTATCTGTTTGTATGTGTTTGTCTGTGTTTTGCTTTGTTTTTTTTTTGTTTTTTTTGGTTTGCTTCTTAGATTTTGGTTGGAAATGTGTGATGACAGCAGAAAGAGTTAGATGCTTACTCTATGGTAATGGCAACAGATACTATATTTTCTTCTTAACGAAAAAAATCTTCAGCCCAAAACCCAGCTGCAAAATTATTCTCCTTGCCCCATGTTATGTTATGTACCATAAGGAGTGGTCTTAACATTGACACTCTCCAGTATGTGTCCATGACTGAGCAGAGATTTGAATTCAGGTCTCCTGGGTCTTACATGTCACTCTGTCCACTTCGCCACTATCCCGTGAATTTCTCAATAAGAGAAGAGAACAAAAAAATAGTGGCTCTCAGCAAGCAACTCCCAAGAGGCACTCTCTTGCTCTCATTGCCGTAGGTGACTGATAAACAATTAAAGGAAAGATCATTGTATCTCTGATCATAGCAAGCTGCCCAATCTTTCAAGTGACATATTCTGAAGCGACCTTCCACAATTTCAGGGATTCTAAACTTCTTTTCACCTAAACGTTCTTTAGTGAAAATCTGACTCAGCACTATATGGGGATGCAGTAGAGTGCTAGTGGAACAGCTGCAAAGCATCAATGTAAGGATCATCCTGATGGACAGTACAAGGGGGAGGAGTGTGCCCTGTCCTTTGTGGGCCACTGTCTACCAATTAGTTTTTGAAGCTAATGTATGCAGATCAGTTTATCATCCCTGTTACTATATATATCCTTTAGGTCCTTTTGAGGAGAAAGGTGGGGTAAATATATTTTAAATAAACAATAAATAAATGTCCCCTTTTTCTGACAGCCAGAGAATTGGCACCTTGAGGACTGAAGCCGTTCATGGCTTGGCTGCACAAGATTGTTGAGCCTCCAATCTTTTGGAAGTGTGAGAGTTGAATAACAACTATGTTTGGTTTTCATATACAGCACGTCCTCTAACACCAAGTGCAAGTGGCTCAAGGAACTTGGGAAGCAGTCTCCTTCTACATAAGACCATTGGCTGATCCTTCTATCTTGGTATTCACCATAGTGCCTCACAGTGGGTCTATACCATTTCAGATTAAAGTCTATCCCATACTTTCCTGAAAGCATCAAAAGCAGCACCTAGAACCTCTTGAATGTAATCTCTTGAGGCTGATTGGTTGGTGGCTGATCAGTTGCAGATGTTCTTGGAGGAAACTGGTAATCTGGATCCATTTCAGTCAGGGTTTAGGCCACAGTATGGTACTGAACAGCATTGGTTACCTTACAAAACAATCTTCTAAGGGAAGCAGAACATTTAAATCTTTCTGTGGCCATGGAGACCAGTGTGACCTTCAGGGAAGGCTATCAAGTTTAGTGATTGGGGCCTCCGCTCTTTGCTGGTTCTGGTTCTTCCTTGATGGCTGATCCCAGATGGTACAACTTGGAGATGTTGTCTCCACCCCATGGGACCTCTCTGTGGTGTCCCACAGAGGTTGACCAGCTCCCCAATGCTCTTTAACATCTACATGAAGCCACTGAGAGAAGTCATTCAGAGATTTTGAGTTTGCTGTCATCAGTATGCTTATTTTTTATTTATTATCTATCTAAATAATTTGTATGCCACATTTCTCCCCATAGGGGACCCAAGGCGACTCACAACAGGAAAAATAAGAAATTGTAAAACATTATGTAAATGTCACGATTTTTTTAAAAAAAATTAAATCTGTAAGTTTAAAACCAGCATATCTGCTTACTGATTAAAGGCCTGCCTAAAGAGGAAGGTCTTTGCCTGATGACAGAAGAACAAGAGAGAGAGAGCTAATCTGGCTTTTCCGGGCAGAGCATTCCAAAGCCTGGGAGCAGCCACTGAGAAGGCCCTCTCTCATATTCTCACCAGTTGTTAGGAATATGGTGGAACTGACAGAAGGGCCTCCCCAGAGGATCTTAAAAGCTGAGAATCCTCATATGGAGTGATATGATCCTTCAAACCTTTAATACGGCATGGACTCAAGCCATATAGGATTTGTAGGTAATAACCAGCACTTTGAATTGGACCCAGAAACAGACTGGCAGCCAGTGAAGCTGTTGTAGTAAAGGAGTTACCTGCTCCCTATAGCCAGAACCAGTCAACAGTCTGGCTGCAGCAATTTAAACCAGCTGAAATTACAAAATACTCTTCAAAGGCAACCCAAGCAGAGCACATTGCAATAGTCCAAACAGGGTGTAACTAAGCACGTTGCAGTAGTCCGAACAGGGTGTAATTAAAGTATGTGTCACCATGGCCAAATCAGAGATATCAAGGAACAGGATGATGTTCTTCTTTGTCTTCTTTGCATCATCTTCATGGGATGCTGCCTGACATTGATAATGGACTGGATGGGGGATGCTGCCTGACATTGATAATCGACTGGATGAGGGCTAATAAACTGAAACTGAATCCAGACAAGACAGAGATCTAATTGTTAGGAGGATTGTTAGACTGGTTAGAGGGAAATGTACTTGTGAGGTTACACTCCTCCTGAAGGAGTAGGTAATTTTTGTTCTTGTGCTTTTTTTGGGTTTTGTTTTAATTATAGATCTAGATTGTTGACCTGCTGTATTGATGTATCACTAGTGGTGTCATGTGGGTTTCAGAGTTTTTAATTTGTAAATGCCCAGAGTACTGTTTCTACTAGAGAGGTGGTATAGCTAGCAATCAATCAATCAATTAATCAGTCAATCAATCAATCAATCAATCAATCAATCAAAATAAACAAATAAATAACATGCTCTACAAATAGGCTACAGCCCACCTCAGCTACAGCATTTTTACAACTTGTCCTGAAAATGCTGAGCATCTTACAAGACTGCAATCAGTAAAGCAAACTGCGTGTTCACCAGGCACCTGGTGGTGTGTACACACACGTGTGCACTCACCTATTTCCAAGCATGCTTGGTGCAGTTAAACTTCGCTCCTGGGCAGAGGACAAGATGGGTGAGGTGCTAGGAGTGCCAGGTCCCTTCGTAGAGCTCTAGAAAGTTCTAAAATGTCCTGCCCATGTTCTAAACATATGACTACTCAAGGTGCATCAATCTCAGGTTATCATCCATCTTTTCTAAAAATATTTAGTTCATTTTCCCTTGATACATTTGGGAGTTCATATTTCTTGGCCTTTTCCTAGGGAATTTATCCTGGCCACAGCAGCCTGGTAGCTATGAGGACTGCTGAATCAACATTCACAATACTAAATGTTACCTGATACCAGAAAAATGGTTCCTCAAAGTTTCCTTCAGAATGCAGGAAGTTGACTTAAAATTGCATCTGTTCTCTGTTTTTTGAGTCTGTTCTCTGTATTTGAGTGGTAGTGCCAAGGATTGAACCCCAGGCATTCTGTAGGCGAAACTTGTATTCCTTTGCTGGATTCCACAGTGGTTTAAGTATCTGGCTATGGAGCCGAAAGTTGGGAGTTTGATTCCCCATTGTGCCTTCGTGACAGGAACTGCACTCAGTGATCCGTAGGGTTCCTTCCATCTCTGCAGGTCTAAGATAACTATGCACTTGAGAGAGTTTACACTACATAGTCACACAGCCTGACTTCTTCCTCTACCCTTGAAGTCACTCATCACTCATTTCTGTGCTTGTGAAGATAGAACTTAGCAGGAACACACACACACCTACTTCCAAGTATGCTCGGTGCAGTTAAATGTCACTCCTGGGCAGAGGACGAGATGGGTGAAGTGCTAGGAGTGCCTGGTCCCTTAACAGAGCTCTAGAAAGTTCTAAAACATCCTGCCCATGTTCTAAACATATGAATACTCAAGGTGTATCAATATCAGGTGAGCAATCAGATTTTAATGTGAAGTATAAAACAGTAATCGCAATCATAACTTAATTAAATAATAACATATATAAGGGGGGAAAACCCTTTGAATCTTATTGGGAAAGTTTTCTGCAAATGATTCCTTGATTTCTACTTATCTAAATTGACATCCCTGAGGATACTCCAAAAATTCACAGTGCTTCTGGAAAAGTGTCTCCAACCAGGACAAGACTCTAGCTGGATCATTTGGAAGTCACTTAATAAACCTCGAAGTGAAGTAGGTAGATCAAAGAATAATAATCTAAAATGGGGCTACCTGAATACTTTTCTGTGACTTCAGAAAAGTGCAATCAATGCAGCTCTG